AAAAATGGAGCCTTTAAAAAATAAAAAAAATTTCAAAATTTAATGTTAATAAGATAATTTAACAGTTCAGAGGTTACCAAAATTTGAAATTATTATTATTATTATTATTATTATTACAGTTTGTAAGAATATATCGCTAATCTTTTCTTCAGGACTCCATGATCGATATCTATCTTCCAAAGATTTAAGCAATGACTTGTGTAGAATCAATAATTGTTCAATGTTACCAAATAACATAGAAATATCTTCCAAACTAGCGATAGGTTTAATGGATAATAACCCATTTTTTTGACTTGTTTTTTGACAGATTTCTCGTAAAGGAAGTAAAAAAATATTAACAAGTTTTTCTAAACCATCAACATATTTTCTTTCGGTGGTAAGAATTTCTGAAACAGCAGCTTCACGTTTACGGTTTCTTGCTGCAATTTCTTTATTAATTTTATGAATTTTTTAGTTAATAAATAAATTTATCATAATATAAAGTATTATTATTAATTATTATTATTATTAATTATTATTATTACTATTATTATTTTTAACAATTACCTTCAGGAGTTGGACCCGGTTCTTTATCCTCATCATAATAACTATCAACTAATTCAGTAACACTGATACCACTTGCAGGTGTGGGAGGTACTGGTGGTTCTTCTGTAGGCAATGAATTTGGATCTAGGGGTGAAATGCCAATAAGTGTCACCTGCCGATTACGTAGTAATTTCGCTTTTACTCTTGAGGATGCCAATGATGGTACATGTTGATTATTATTATGTAAAGATTGTAAAGAAGCTTTTCGTCGAAGAGTTCTAACAAATTGTTCTTCATCTCCGACTGAATCAGACGTTGAAACATTAGGAATATTAAGTAACGGTGAACTTGGAGATTTTCTTAGAGTATCAGTTTCTGATTGATTAATATAACATGAAGGTAGTCGTTGTAATGAAGGAAGGAGTGGATGATTTGTTGTTGGTAAAGGTGGTGGAGGTTCATCTCCCATAGTAGTATAGTTTGGTAGCGTATGAAATGTATATCGATTATTACCAACAGCGCTGTCATTTTTTTGTTCATTAGGCCAAAATGGCATTGAACTTCTCATAATTATATAGCCTTCGTTATCCTCCCTGGTATCATTTAAATCATTGTAACTATCTTTATCGTCAGTTTCTGATTTGGGACTATTTAAAGAGCAATAGTATCCGGAATCCCCACGTGACATTTTTAATTAAAAAATCTATTCTAATGATGTATGCGCGTCTTTTAAGGATTTCAAATAAACTATTCTTGCGTGCACTTGAAGTGCAGATACAAGTGCTATCCAACCTATAAAAAATGTGAAAAAAAAGACATCAGAAAAAAAAAAATTGCTTTTTAAAAAAGAATTATTTGATTATTTGACTTATTTGACTCACCTAAGCCGACTGATAATAAATATCTCGTGACTTAAAAGATTCGTATAATAATCATATTGTGCAGATCATTTAAGTACAAATAATGCAATTATCAAAAGATTATAGTCAAAAATTCAGAAAAAACTCACTCAAAATAGCCAGTATTTAATCACCGTTACTGTTTGTATCAAAAGATTTTATCGTATTTTATGCTATAAATAAAAATAAAAAAAAAACCGATAAAATTTGTAAAATTTGTAAAATTGACTTTTAATAAATTTACATAATAATAATACAATAATAAAACTTACTAGATAAAAAATTTATTGATAAATATTTTTCTATTTAATCTTTTCGAAGAAAAAAATAAAAATTGCAAATTTTCTTTAATATTAAAATAGATTTAAATTTTTTTTTTTAGAAAAAAAAACGAAAGTTGGTGAAACGATAGCATACATTCAAACACTGTAAAACTATTTCAAAATTGTTTCGTGACGTCAACAAAGATAAAGTTAACTTTAAAAAGTGACAGAGCAAGGAAGGAACCTAAGGATGATTTTGCTGATACCAGAAAAGCGAAAGTAAAGTAGTCATAAATAGACTACATGAACTCATTAATGTCTTATATAGTGATAATCGTTTGGTTACTGTCGCACCGCATAGATTTCATATTCTCGGTCGTTATATGTACTAATGCTAATATTGTTTGATATGTATCCGATTAATTTTTTTTACACAAGATTAGGTTCATGTAAACACTAACAATGAACAACTGGAACAAGATTTCGAATGTTCTCGTATAGTTGGTAAGATTTATCCTAAAAATTATATCATAATACATTCAAAAGTTAAAAAAATCACTTAATATTAAAAAAAATTTTACTTATATGCTATATAAATAAATATATTCGGGTTTAACCAACTATTTTGACTCCATTCGGAAATAAAAGCATGGGTTTCTCAAAAAAACACAAAAAAATCTACATTTAATTTTAATAATTAAAAATTTACTACCGGTAAATGGCTTATTTTTATATACAATATGGACTTTCATTATTACGATTATTACGTAATTCCTGGTACCGGTAATCAATTGTTCATCTCAATTATCTTATTAATTATTTAATTGATTGTCATATACACAAGGACAAGGCTTTTTCTAGTCTTGACTATTTAGTAAATCAATCGACATGTATGTGGCAAAAAGACCTTTTTTAAATAAGTTCGGTCTTATTACAAATAAGTTTTAGTCTTTTTTTATTGCAATGTTAGATGTACGTATGCTTTTGTCCTTTCGTCTATAGATTTTCAATGCAATGTACGTATTATGATTTTTTAGGTAGATTTTCCTGCAGGGTGTTATGCCCAAAGTTGCTGCATAGTAAAAAAAAAAAAAAAGCTTTTATGCATTCGTACTGAAAAATTTTTACTAATCGATTAGTAACGGTTTTAATATTTTTTTTTTTAAAAAAAACCAGGGGTCCAATTGTATACAATAGTCGATCTTTGATTAGTCTTATACAATTATTTTCTCAATAACCAATGGTACCATACCTTTTTATCTTTTTGATTCAAAATTTATTAATAAGTAACCATTTTCATTTTCTGAGATATTATCAAAAACTTAGTCTATCCAGTCTAGTCTCAGGTTTACGACATGGGCTGTTAATGCCTCCAAGTTTTGTGACATAAATCATAATATATTGATCAAATCAAATTGGAACCAGATCCATTATCTGATTTACCAAAAATCTTAATCATACAATATCAATTGAGTTTTAAAAGTAAAGCTGAGTGTATGTTATAATTACTTAGTGTTGGAAAATTTTTCATTTATAATAGTGTTACGATCCGACAAAAACTACTGGTTCAATTGATTCCTAATCTCAGGATCGTGAAAGGTGCCCAATTAAAATTGATTGTTTTTAAATTTTGAATTGGAAGGTTTCTCAATAACCTCTTAAAATTAAATCCAATGAAATTTTGTTTTTCGTATTTTCGCGAAATGACGTAATTTCGAATTTTGACTTGGTTCGGTCATCGTCCGAAAAAACGCACATGCCCGTTATTTCACGAAATGATCAACGCTTTCGGCCTGATTTACGTATTATTGGTGTCCAAATCGTAATACTAGCACAGCATATACGGTACACAAAGGAGACTAATTTTTTTCCATATTTATATAGATCTCTAAGATACAATAACCAAAGAGATTTTTTGTCTAATTCTATTGATTTTTAAAATTGTAATATTATATATAAATTCGTTTACAAGTAACCCTCAATATAAGAAATCTTCGATATATAAAAGACTAATTAAACTCCTGATATAAAAAAGTCAAGCCAAAGCCAGTTTATAATAAATCTACTTTATATAAAAAGTTATTAATAAACTCCCGATATAAGAAAATTTTGTAAAATTTTTAATATGGACCCGACCTCTTTTCTTATATCAAGATTCACTTGTTTAATCAACTTTTTTTAAAATAAAATATTTAAATAAAAATAATTTAATAAGATTTATAACTATCAATTATTATTTATTAATTAAACAATTTAAAAAAAATTAAAAATTTTATTTATTTAATAAATATTTTTTATTAATTTTTTTTTCTTTTTAATTTAGCAATTCTGTTTCTTGTTTGTTTAAAATTAAGCTATTTAACAAATTCAAAAAATTTCTGTTTATAGCTATTACTAATCTAACCAGACAAAAGGTTTACTTAGCTTATATTCAGATATAATTTGCCTTAGTAGCTTTTGGTCTTCTTTTGGATCTTTAACTTACTAAGAATTTATTTTCTTTTGATTATTAGTTGGTGGTTACAAGTTTATCAAAAAGCAAAATAAGAAAAACAAAGAAAACAAATATTAAAAAACAAACACAAAAATATAGAAGATTATAATAAAAATATACAAACATAAAAAAAGATTAAAAGAATTATAAGAAAACAAAAAAGAATTTTATCTATTTTAATATTTATAATTAAAAACCTGTGTTAGGCTTGAAAAAATTATATAGTATATATAGTATATTATTAAATAAACTAGTTTTTATTTTAAATTTATTTATATAACTTTTGATATAGCAAACTCTTGATATAATAGAAACTATATAAAATTTTGATATAGTAGATTAGAATTAAGATTCAAATTTATACTATAATAAATACAACTTAATATAATAGATTTATTAATAAACCTTATAATAAAGCAAATTTTAAAAGTTTTTATTAAGTATATAGTAACTTAGAGTAGTAGTTAAATTATTACTCTCTAAGTGGCAAGTTTAAAGTTCAAATCTCACTGAAGGTGTTTTTAGAAAAATAGACCTGTGTATTAGTAACAATTATTTAATAATCAATTGAGTATATCACTAGTAATCCTAGTACTAATTTTTTTTTCCTTTGGCAATCTTGTTTACTTTATTATGGAAACAGACTTTCATCCTTATATAGCATAAGAAATTTAAATCTATAAGTGTTCTAACCAAAATGTAAACTCACCCATGGCATATCTCACAGATGCTATAACATCTACTTGCGGTCAGGGCAAACCATTAAACTGCTGTGTTTTGCCCAGATGCAATCTGCCTAGCAACACTTGGCCTCCTTCAGAGATTCAGAACTCATCCGGACTTATTTCCATCAGATTCCTCAGCTGGCTGTTGCTCGTCAATCAAGATTCCTACCCTACAATAGAATGCCACCAAACTGATGACAACAATATATGTAAAATAGTTGGTGCTGGC